GTGTGTGCGTGTGTGCGTGTGTGTGTGTGTGTGTGTGATGTGTCTCAGGTATATGTGCATGAGTGTGTGTGTGTGAGAGATGTGTCTCAGGTGTGTGTATGCATTGTGTGTGTGTGTGTGTGTGTGTGTGTGTCTGTGTGTGTGTGTGTGTGTGTGTGTTTGTGTGATGTGTCTCAGGTGTGTGTATGATATGTCTCAGGTGTGTCTATGTGTGTGTCTATGTGTGTGTGTGATGTGTCTCAGGTGTGTGTGTGTGTGTGTGTGTGTGTGTGTGTTTTGGCTTGAAGCTAATGCTGGGAGTCTTCTTCAGTAGTTTTCCATTTTACTTATTGAAGTTGGGTCTCTCGATGAATACAGAGCTCACAATTCCATTAGTCCAGTTAGCCAGTTTATCCTGGAGGCCCAATTGCTGCCTCTCAAGTCCTGGGATTATAGGAGGCTGTTCTGCCATACCTGTGGGCCTTTTACAAAGGTTCTGAAGATCTGAGTTCTGGCTCTGGTGCTTCTATGGCACACTACTGAGTCATCTCCCCAGTCCTGGGATGCACTTTGTAGAGGAAAGGACCTAAGCCTTTCCAAAGGAAACCACAAAAAGAAGATGATCTTAGAGCAGGACAGCCCCACCTCCATGTGCCCCATCTCAGAGTGGGGAGATGGTACAGGATCTGAACCCCACCTTTGAGGGCTAGCTGTTCATGTCATAAGAGTTGGGCAAGATGGTGAGTGGGTTTTCAGCAGATGGTCATGGGGAGAGGCTGCTGGGTAAAGAAAAGATTCGGGGAAGAAAGAGCTGGTCTGGAGAGGACCAGGTTGTCTGGGAGACACTGAATTGTGCTAGGGAGGAGGCTGGGACTGTGTGTGTTTAGCTCACCAATGTGCTCCCCTTGGAACACAGTAGTTGCTAAATAAATTTTGTTGAAAGAACGAGGGAATGGATAATTTGGCTCTCTAAGCAGAACCCTGGGGTCTAGAGAGGAACTGGTTCCCAGTTCCAGCCTTGCACCATACGGATGACATTTTCTGGCTCTCCACCCCCTCCATTCTAGCTTGTTTTCTCCACTTGTGTATTGGAGAGGAGTTCTCCCTCCAGCAGGAGTGTCCCAACATCTGAGGGATCATTTGATGGGGCTCATTGGGAAGCCATGGTGAACCAGGCCCCTCCCACAGTGAGACCCCGCCCAGCCCAGAGGGAGAGAGGGACCGGAACGGGTTGTGGCAACAGCTAAGGACACCCTCTAGTGGAGGTCTCTGGCAGCACAAGGGGCCCGTGGGAATATGCGGCTTTGTCTGGCTTCCAGATTCCACTCCACTCATCGTCAGTGTGCGACGGGAAGAGAAGAGATGAAGCAACTTCCCTGCCTTCAAGAAGCATGCAATTCACAGTAAGTGTGAGACGGCTCAGTGAGTAAAGGCGCTTGCTGCCAAGCCTGCGTTCAGTCCCTGGGACTCATCACAGGGTAGGAGAAAACTGACTTCTGCAAGTTTCCCTCTGACCTCTGACCTCTGACCTCCGTATATTCATGAACACAGGCAGGTACGCAGACGGACACACACTTTAAAAAATAAATTAGTGGATCCAAAACTAGAATGGAAAGGGATTCTTCTCTAAATCCTAATGAAAGCAGGAAAGACAAAAGACAAAAGAAACAAGCCAACCAACCAACCAACCAAAAACGGAATAGAGAGGAGAGATCGGTTTCAGAGGCAGAGGTAGGTACAGGGTAGGGGGGAAGGGTGCTCCTGGCATGGGGCACTGGGTACCTCAAGGCGGGACAGCAGGAGGCAAGCGTTGCTGTGGCTAGAAGGGCATGATACATTCTAAACTGCTCATGCTTCGTGGGCGTTAAGCCCAGGGTAGGAATCGGGAAGATGTGTCCAGCTGGATGCTCAGATCAGTGAGGTCACATTTATTTATAACTCTTGAAACCAAGACCTTTGGATCTCAATTTGCAAGGGACATCAGAGGCTCTCTGTGCTTGAGGAATCCAGGAGCCTTTCACTATCTCTCCACTGACCTTGGCCCTGCAAAGTGACCAAGGGAAGAGTGTCTAAGCAGAAGGAAGAGAAAGCGCACACAAGTCCACTTCTGTGTGCATCAGGAAAGGTTGGATGCTACCACTCCTAAGCGAGTTATCGGCGTTCCATGCCCCCCACCCCATCTTCCACTTGTGGTTTTGTGCTAACATTTGTGGGCCGTCTGGGACAGATTGGTTCACAGAATTATTTACCTCTTTCAAATATCAATGCACTTTATTACACAATACCAGGAAATCAAGTCACCGAATCTTTGACCCCATCCAGAAACTTCAGTCTCTGGGAAGCTGTCTCTGTCATGGTAGCAGAGTTTGCTAAAATTCAAAAATTTCACCTAAAACCTCCAGTTTCATCAGTAGCAACAACTATATCACTAATTGTTTACCTTGACATGACAGGCTTGCTTTCTTCACTTTCAAAACACTGCCTGATAGTTTCTTCAGTCTGAACAATTATGGGTCCAAGTAAATATAGTATTCTTTTCTTGACTATTTATTTTATTTTATTATTTGTGTGTGAGAGAGAGAGAGAGAAAGAGAGAGAGAGAGACAGAGACAGAGAGAACACATGAACACATGCATGGGTGCAGGTGCCTTTGGAGACACGAAGAAGGCTTTGGATCCCCTGGAGCTAGCTAGAGTTACAGAGGTCATGAGCCACCTGCCCTGGGTGCTGGGAACTAACTTCAAACTTCCTAAGAGCAATAAGCACTCCTAACACTCTTAATGTCTTCAGACCCCAAATACGGCATTCTTTTAAAAAGAAAAACAAGCCCAGCCAGTTCAGATGGCAAGGCCTAGAACGGCTAATGCGGGGGCTTTCCTAGACGCAGCCTAGATATGTATGCTACAGCACAAGAAGCACTCGGCACCTGCAGGCTGGCTACTATTTTTTTTTATTTTAAATCTGAATTTATGTTTTGAAATAAAAATGCAACAAACTTTTATAAAATTGACACATGGGAACACACTTTAAAATACCATCACATACTACATTTATTTAGTGAATAGATGCAGTCTAAACAAGAACCTATGAGTTATATATGTGAGTTCCTTCCTTCCTTTGAGCAAAAAGGAAGCTTCTGTGAAGTGCTGGACACATCAGCATTGGCTCAGCACCTCCACAAGTGAGGAATCCTGGAGCACAGCTTCTGATGGGGCTGGACTCCATCCTGCAGCTTCCCATGTGGGCTGCAGGGCCTGTGACTGGATATTCCCCAAGTCCTGTGTGCCACAGTCCTTTACTCTCTGGTGGCAATGCAAATATCACCATTGGCTTCCTTTTATTGCAGACTTCAACAGAAAGTCAGCATGCTTACAGACTCTGGACATGGAGTTCGGGGATTTTCTGGAGACTCCCACCACTTTGGGAAAGCCCTTTCTCAGAAGTTTCTGATCTAACTCACTTTCTCACATGGTGACTTGGACCTTGGGGACTTCATCCACACAAACGAGGACTCATGAGGTGGGTCCAGCTGGGAGTCCTTTCTGAAGCTGTGCCCATGGCTCTGCCACAGCTCTGCTCTGGCTCAAACCATCTTTTTCCAGTTACAGTAGATTCATTTCTCCCCTCCTTACATTCTATTTTACAGCTGGTATTTTAGTATGTTCCCGCAGAACTTCTTTATTTCATTCTAATAATCAACAATTTGAGGCTGTTACATAACAATCCTTTATATATGTTGCTGGTCTGTAAAACCAAGCTGTTTGTATAAGAACAAGTAAGAAACAAATTCTGGTAGATTTAGCACCTCGCCATCATGTCCACTACTGATGTATGGTAGCTTTCAAAGAGTTTTCAAAATTTCACTCATGTTTTCCTCTCACATAAATACTTAGGTTTTTTTCAATAATAAACATGATTTTTTCAAAATTTCACTCATGTTTTCCTCTCACATAAATACTTAGGTTTTTTTTCAATAATAAACATGATTTTTTTTTTAGTAACAAATATATGCTTAGGGCCAACATCACAAAACCAGTAACTACAATGAATGTTACTGGTGGTCCAACACTTTATTTCCATACTTCATTTCCAAATAAAGTTTCAAGCCTTTGACTCTGCCCATGGATTCAAGTTCTAAGACGTATCGTTTGACACTATCAATTCTATAACTTACCAAAAGCTAGAATGACATTCTTAATGTGTGTAGGGAGTATAAAATTACACCTCAAAGTTTAACTTCTTCTTAATTA